AGGTTTAAAGACTTGCTACATGGGGCGCCTGGGTGGCTCAGTCGGTTAAGCGTCTGACTTCGGCTCAGGTCATGATCTCACGGTCTGTGAGTTCGAGCCCCGCGTCGGGCTCTGTGCTGACTGCTCAGAGCCTGGAGCCTGCTTCAGATTCTGTGTCTCCCTCTCTCTCTGCCCCTCCCCTGTTCATGCTCTGTCTCTATCTCAAAAATAAATAAATGTTAACAAAAAATAAAAAATAAATAAATAAATAAATAAATAAAGACTTGCTACAGGTCAATTATTAAATGGCAGAGCCTGGATTTGAATCCAGGTAATCTGGCTCCAGAGTCTGTGCTCTCAATCTCTACATTCTTTTATTAAATGTAAGAAAAACAAAAATTATGTGGATTATATAGAATTGACTTTAAACTATTATTAAAACTTTGAATGTCAAATAATGGTATTATCAGATTGTATTTAGAGGTTTTCTTTTTTCTTTTTTCTTTTTTTGTATGTGTGTGTGTCATTTTCAGTTTGTCTCCCAGTCTAACTGCCAGCAGTTCCTGAACACTGTTTGGTTTGGACAGATGTCAGGCTACCGACGTAAGCCCACCTGTAAGAAGATAATGACTGTTTTGACAGTTGGTATCTTTTGGCCAGTTTTGTCACTTTGTTATTTGATAGCTCCCAAATCTCAGTTTGGCAAAATCATTCACACTCCTTTTATGAAATTTATTATTCATGGAGCATCATATTTCACATTCCTGCTGTTACTAAACCTATATTCTCTTGTCTACAATGAGGATAAGAAAAACACAATGGGGCCAGCCCTTGAAAGAATAGACTATCTTCTTATACTGTGGATTATTGGTAAGTGTCAAATTTGTCCAAAAAGTTCTGCTTTTAGTTAACCATTTAATTCTCCTTTGCTTGGTGGCATTATAAACATCTGTGTTCGGTTTATAATTTTACACTGTTTATACAGCAAGAATTCGAACACTTTCATGATCATTGAAGACTTATCTAACACTATTCTAATGATATATGATCCTGAACTTATTTATTATTACTTAATTACATGAAGTTAAAAATTCTTTATTTTCAGTCTCTAAAATTGTTCATGATCATTAAAAAAGAAAAATTTTGCTGATGAATGCTTTTTTTGGTATAAGGGTATGAATCTTAGGTATTTTGAAATGTGATACATATTATCCTTGGTTGCATTTTAAGAGTTAACTATTTTGTTTTATTGTATCATTAGTTTTCCTTTTAAGAACCCATGAACTTATGAGGTTACATTTTTATCTGTTATAGAAACATTATTTAAATTTAAATTTAAAGGTTTCCCTGGTGACTCACTCTATATAAATCAGTTCTTTGTAATGATAGCCAGATCTCTTTAGAAATGACAGAGTTTTGGGGCGCCTGGGTGGCGCAGTCGGTTAAGCGTCCGACTTCAGCCAGGTCACGATCTCGCGGTCCGTGAGTTCGAGCCCCGCGTCGGGCTCTGGGCTGATGGCTCAGAGCCTGGAGCCTGTTTCCGATTCTGTGTCTCCCTCTCTCTCTGTCCCTCCCCCGTTCATGCTCTGTCTCTGTCCCAAAAATAAATAAACGTTAAAAAAAAAAAAAAAATTAAAAAAAAAAAAAAGAAAAGAAAAAAAGAAATGACAGAGTTTTTAATATAAGATACTTTATTTTCTGAAAATTATTTTTCTAAGTATTATGCTGTATGATACAAATTTGAAATGACCTGTAGTTTTTATAATTCTTGCCCTTTTCTGTGGGGAATGGAGGAGAGTTGAGGTATAATCACATCGTCTATTTATGGTCTTTTTTTTTTTTTTTAATCTTTATTTATTTTTGAGAGAGAGGGAGAGACAGAGTATGAATAGGGGGAGGAACAGAGAGAGAGAGAGAGGAAGACAAAGATTCCGAAGTAGGCTTCAGGCTCTGAGCTCTCAGCACAGAGCCCTACACGGGGCTCAAACTAACAAACCACAAGTTCATGACCTGAGCCGGAGTCAGACGCTTAACCAACTGAGCCCCTATTTATGGTCTTTTAATGACGTCTTTATTTCCCTCTGGATCTTCAGCCTTGTTTTTAAACTCAGCATTTCTCACCCGTCTTTTCACTATTTGCTATAGAGTAAAAGGATGTTACAATTTAGTCTTCTATGGTATAAAGCATTGATTTATCAGTATGTTCTTCATTGATTTAATAAATAAGTTGAGAAAAATTAAAGTATCATTTTAACTTTTAGTTCTCCAGCTATAAAATTAATCTGCATGTTTTGGAACTTTAATTTTTTTTTTTGAAGTTAGTTAATTTCAAGTAACTTGATTTCAGTCAAGACTTTTACTTTTAGTGGTGTTCAATCCATTATGCATTAATGTTTAAAATTAGGTAGATAAAGTAAAAATAATACACATCTTGGATATGTTAAAACATTCAGTTGGTGATGCAGAGCAGTCAAGAACATTGTTGAGTTTTGAAGAGGGGTTTAGAGATATTATTTATTGTATAAATACAGGTCAAATTTAGAGGTATAAATTTGAAAGTCTGCGCACAGATAGTATTTAAAGCCATTAGACTAGACTGGATAAAGTCACTGTAGGAGTGAGCATAATAGAGAAAAGAGTCAGGAACTAAGCTTTTGTGGTGTGTTTGTGTGTGTGTGTGTGTGTGTTTCCTTATTTTTCTTATGCTTGTCTCACAAGCATCATTTATTAAAATCTCTCTCTGGGAAAGATATTGTCATATAAAACTTAAGGTTTTTTTCTTTCAAATTTTGAGAACTTTTCACTAAAAAGTTCTTATTTTTTCTTCCGGATGAGACTATAGTTTGATGTAAGTTGCTGTTTATTTAATATTTTGAGTTTTAATTATTTTTTAGTTTATTATTGAATTAAGAACATTATCTGATTTTTTTTCTTCCTTTTTTTAGGGATGATTTGGTCAGACATTAAAAGACTCTGGTATGAAGGGTTGGAAGACTTTTTAGAAGAATCCCGTAATCAACTCAGTTTTGTCATGAATTCACTTTATTTGGCAACTTTTGCCCTCAAAGTGGTTGCTCACAACAAGGTGACTATTAGCTATGTTAATTGGAGACATAAATGAAGTTTGTGTAGGAAACGTAGCTATATAACTCAAAGTTAACGTTGGCCCAAATCTGTACCTGATGTGTTTTCATTTTAATTTCACTATCCCAGTGTAAGGGAATAGTGTGTTTCCTCCCTTCCAGTAGTTTCCTCCCTTCCAGTAGTTTAAAGGATGTTAATAACTTTTAAATGTTGGTTACCTATTATATGCCAGGCTTCATGGTTGCTACTTGCTATACTTTATCTCATTTTATCCTCACAGGGACTCTATGAGACAGATGTCCTTATCCCCATTTTGCAAGTAAGGAAAAGGAAACTCAGAGATATTAAGTAACTTATCCAAGACCACACAGTAAGAAACCAAGACTGGATTTAAATCCAGGTCTGTCTAGGCATTTTCTTTCTACCAAATGCCGATTCCTTATATCTGAGTTAGGTTCATTTACCTCATTAACGTGTATCTACTTAAAGTGAGAACACAAAGATACTTCAATTGATTAGTGTTAGTCTTCTTTATACCTGCCAGAAAAAAGTTTTATCTTTAAGAATTCATTATAGTGTTGTACACATTCCAAATCATGATTATTAAAGAGTGATGTAAATGTGATTATTTTTTGATGCCTCTTTTTAAATTCAGAATTTGACAAAAATTTAGTTTTATATGCATCTTATAATTTTACCAAGATGTAAGCTACTCCAAGCCCAGAAAAGATAATAGATTTTAATTATCTTTGTTTAAGCCCTAAGTTTAGAATTCTTCTAGGGTGTCACAGTCAAGGAACTAAGAGATAATAATATTTTCTTGTTTTTGGACTAATTTATGGACTATAGAAAAAAAACACTGATTCACTTACACATCATTTTACTTTGTTAAAAGAAAACTGCATACTTTTAAATGATCAGTAGTATGGAACATGTTTGTTAGGTATTTTCAATGACCAGATTTGTGAAATTACTAAGAAAATTAAAAAATGATCATACATAGATAAATGGCTCAATAAAGAGGTTGAGGGTCATTGGTGTCTTTGATCTCTTTAGTTCTAGAAGTGGAGTGCTCATATAACTTTTTATCCAAACCAGGACACTTTGAGAGTATAAGGGGGCATTAATGATTATGCCAGGAAAACTGGTATATAATTTGGGACTATTCCAGACAATTGGAACATGTGGTCGCTCTATGTCTGGGTATAATAATGCACTCACTCTCCCTTGGTATTTGGAAGAGAGAAGAACTTCTAGGGTTCATACTAGAAACCTGAGTTAAAGGGCTAATTTAAGGGTTAATTTAATATGATAGCTAATTAACTGAGAGCAAACATACTTAAATTTTACTTAATGCTTAAAGTTTGTGTTGTAAAATTTAAGGAAAACCAGTAAACATTTCATTCATAAAAAGTTTAATAACATTTTTAAAAAAATGTTTAATTTTTTAAAACCCAAGAATTTCTGAGAAAACCTCTTATTATATAGAGTGATATTGCCTCATGTATGTAGAGATCTTTTATTTAGTTAAAACAATGCTATTTGTATTAAAAGAAGAGAACCTCATAAAACCTAAAAGGAGATCTCCTAAAATAGACATAAATAGTTTTCTTTCAATAGTCAGAATACTGGTTTTTATTTTCATAAGTTGAGAGAGCTATCTATCTTTGCCTTTTGTTCCTAACTTTAGTTTCATGATTTTGCTGATCGGAAGGACTGGGATGCATTCCATCCTACTCTGGTGGCAGAAGGGCTTTTTGCATTTGCAAATGTTCTAAGTTATCTTCGTCTCTTTTTTATGTATACAACAAGCTCCATATTGGGTCCATTACAGGTAAATAATTAATGTTTCTTAAAGAATATTTGTTAGATGTCATTATTACTATATTTTTCTATTGATCCACTAGAACATTGTTGTCTCTGATGTTAAAGTTAAACTTTGCGGGGCGCCTGGGTGGCGCAGTCGGTTAAGCGTCCGACTTAAGCCAGGTCACGATCTCGCAGTCCCTGAGTTCGAGCCCCGCGTCAGGCTCTGGGCTGATGGCTCAGAACCTGGAGCCTGTTTCCGATTCTGTGTCTCCCTCTCTCTCTGACCCTCCCCCGTTCATGCTCTGTCTCTCTCTGTCCCAAAAATAAAATAAAAACGTTGGGGAAAAAAAAAAAAAAAAGTTATACTTTGCTTTTGAAAATAATTAACAATTGAGAGGACACTGCATGTCCATCTACTTCGCTTTTGACTGAATGATAATCCTGTGCTTTCAGGTATTCAGACTTTATTAAGCTGTGGCCCATTGTCCCTCTCCCCTCAGTTCATAGACATAGATGTGTTTAAAACGTAGTTATACTTAAGACAGTAGAGGAACATGAAAATCTTGTGTTTTGACAAAATGAATCTCACATTTAAAGTTTTAAATAGTATATATGAGGGAGGTGTTGTGCACAAAGAATTCATACTTAATGATGATTTTGAAAATATCTTTCACTTTGTTTAATAAATATTAAATGTAATAAGTTGGAAAATGACATTTTTAGGCTAACAAATTTCATAGAGTTCATGTAGTCCAGCTTTATGCCTTAAACTACTTTATAGCTCAAGAAATTGAGCTTTTGAGATGGTGATTTGTTCAGAGTAGAATGGTTATTATGTATGAGGGTCCAGGACTAAATGCTAAGTCCCTTTACATTAAAGAAAGGACTCATAATTGTTTGAATTTACCACAGATTGTAATAGTGATTGTTTTTAGAGAAAGGGGATCAACTCTGGTAGGTGAGTAGCTCTACATATATTGTGAGTTATGAGTCTGAGAATCTGAGCAATATTCACTTTTTCTTGATGAGTCGAAATTTGTTAGGAATGTAGATTTTAAAAACATTTTTAAAGGAAATATTTTTAAAGAAAAGGCATAATTATGTTCTCCAAATAGAGATATGAAAATAAAGTATGTAGGAAAAACTTGGTTTGATTTGGCTTATGCTATCATCGTGCAACAGTATTTCCTGGAGTGTGAGTTCCTTAACCAAGTCCTGATTAATTCACAGTGCACATTATCACATTAAAGCTTGTAAGAAAGAGATAAAGAAACTTGTTTAACCTTGTTCAAACTATCATGACATAAACTCATTTAATGTGATACTCATTTTTCATTAGATATGTTCAGGTCTCTGTTTTTCTCCAAAAAATAGTATGTGAAACACTGATTTAGACTGTTATTTTGATTTAATTTTGCCACTAATATCTTCTATGACTGTTTTAGTCAATAGTCAACAGTATTTTTACATGTGTGTTGTTTTGTTGCTTTTTTGTTCTTTTCTTAGCTAAAAGCTGATGATATCACTAAGTTTCTTTCTTTTTTTATATGTATCACCAAGTTTCTGTATTTTTTTAAATATATTTCTACAAAGAGTTAAAAAGGAAAAAGTATGCTATTGTTTCTTAGTGAATTATCTATTTTTCTTAGAACTATTGAGTCAGGTCTTCTGACTTAATCTCTTCCCCAAAGAACTATATAGATGTGTATACAAATACTGAATAAGTAGGTTTTTGTCATTTTCAGCTGTTGTGTTTTTCTTCTCCAGCAGGACAATTTAGATTGTCGCAATGGCCATAGAACTGACAGATGATTTAGGTGAAGCCAACAAATATTTATTGTGTTCTATTTTTTAAAAAGGTCTGCTGGTTACTCATAATATATGCTTAAACATTATGATTTAGTTAAGCAAATGATTTTTTAACATTATTGGGGCACCTGGTGGCTCAGTCCGTTAAACATCTGACTCTTGATTGCAGCTCAGGTCATGATCTGAAGGCTTGTGAGATCAAGCCCCACCTCGGGCTCTGCACTGACAGCATGGAGCCTGCTTGGGATTCTCTCTCTCTCTCTCTCTCTCCCTCCCTCCCTCCCTCCCTCCCTCCCTCCCCCCCCCCACCTCCTTCCCCCCCTCCCTCTCTCTCCCTTTCCGTCTCTGTCCCCCTCCCCTGCTCATTCCCTCTCTCTCTCAAAAGAAAGAAAGAAATATTTAAAAAAATAAATAGAATAAATAATCTTTAGCAAGATATGCTTTGCATACAGTAAAATAAACCCATCTTAAATAGTTTGATGAGTTTTTCAAAAGTATAAATTTGTTTAATCACTACCATAATCAAGTTAGCATGTGCATCACCCCAAAAAGTTTCTTGACACCTTTTTGCATTTAAAACTCCCCTTACCCTCACCCCAGACCACTGTTGTCTGGTATAGGCTAGTCTCAGAACTGAAGGATTTGGAAATACAAATAGAATTAGTTGGTATTGCAAAGCAAATCTTCCCAGACAGAAGGTTGTCTGCAATTTTTACAGTGTTACTGTTCCTCATGGTTGCAAGCTCCCTGTTCCAAGTCATTATATCAAGTCTGTATCCTACAGAGAGAAGGGGAAAGACAGAGGGCAAAAGCCAGAAAATATGGGCCAACTGTCTTTCTCTTTTTATCAAGAGAGCAATCATTTTCCCTGGAGCCCTACCACATATTTCCACTTATAACTCATTGGCCAGAATTTGGTCATATGGTCATTTGTAGCTACAAGGAAGTCTGAGGAGATGAGTACTTTCAATTGCCCCCCAAAAAATCAAGGTCTGGTTAGTCAGGAAGAGAGCAAAGAATAGATATTGAATAGGAATCTATAGATTCATATTTTCAGGCTTTTACTTAAAGATATTTTCAAATAAAGACATTTGTGTTACAGTGTAGTCTTACTAACATGACAGATTTGTATTGCATAGTTCTTCCAAAATATTCTAGAAAAAGTTCTTGTAGAAAATTTAGAATACATTTTTCTTCCATTTTGTTCGTCATAAGTAAGGAACTCAATTGAAAGGGAGTAATCCAGTTATGAATGTAAAACTAGAAGTAAAATGCAAAAAAAATTGACAATAAGTTAATTACTTTAGCAAAAGAGCAACTTTATTCCTTTACATATATAACCTGTTATGTCAGATAATGTTTTTATGTGATTACTGTGATTATCTCCATTAACTTTTTTTCCTTCCAAATATTTGCAGAAGTTGACAGACTTTTATTTTAACTGGTTATATAACCTGTGGTAAGGGTACAGATTACTCCCTTGGTTAGAGTGACCATATTTTATCATCCAAATGGAGACACTTTGGGGAATGAAAGGGATGCTATTTATTACTAACTTGGGAAAACAAGTGGAAACTGGGACTGTCCTAGGCAAATCAAGGTCACAGGAATATCATATAGTGGAATATATAAAATGGTTCTATATTCAGCAGTGGTTGAATCCTCTATTTTAGTACTTGACATTTTTATGATTATGCTCATTAAATTTGTAACTTATGTCGTAGGTAGACTCTGGAAGGTGGCTTTCTACATCTGGCCCTACTTACTTTGTAGCCATCTGTCGCTAAACTCATCTCTGTCCCTTACTGAAGTACTTCTCCATCTGGGCCAAGACCAGTCAGTAATCTCACACATGTCCCATGCTATCCCAATTCCATGAAATTGTTTATGTTATTACCCTATTTAGAATGTCCCACCCACTCCTCTACTTGTCAAAATTTTATTCATTCAGTGAACAGTTTTTGAGTGCCTGGTAAGTACTAGACACTGAAAATACTAAAATGAGTAAGCTCTGGGGCACCTAGCTGGCTCAGTCAGAAGAGCATGCAACTCTTTGATCTTGGGGTCGTGGGTTCAGTGTTGCGTATAGAGATTACTTTAAGTAAGTAAGTAAGTAAATCTGAAAAAAAAAATTAATATGCTCCAATATCTCCTTAAAGAACTCAAGTACAGTGAGGGTGACAGGCAAGCATGACATTTACAGTGGTAATTGCTGTCATAGGCACAGCTCATAGAAAGGGCACTCACTTCAGTTTAAGGCACTTACCAGAAGAGATGACACTGGAATTAAGCCTTGAAAGATGAGTAGAATGGAGGCGGGTTAGGCATTCCAGGGAGAGGGAACATGTGCCAGTGTTAGAGCTCCTGCCTCTGGAAAATCCATTCCTATGCTCTTGCTCCCCTGCTAATGAATAACTCCATCCAGTGAACTTGGTACTTTGAACCTCCAATGAGCACTTCCTAAAGCTTGTCTTAATTGTAAGACAATTAAAATTTAGCTTGTCTTAAATTATAGACGGTGTCGTCTCTACTAAATTAAAAATTCCTTGAGGATAGGGACTGTATCTTTATTTTTTCATCTGCACTTTACTGACTTGCCATAGTAGTCACTTACTATTTGATAAATTAAATGGTCTTGGGTAAAGACAAATGCTGATTGGTGTGTGAGAAGAATAAAGCTGTTGGGCTATATCTACTACCTGTTACTGGAGCTGCTTATTCAAAATAATAACAACCACCACATTTGTTTAACATTTCATGTGGGCCAGGCACTGTGCTAAGTTTTTTCGCCTTATTTCATCCTCATCACAACCCTTGTTATTTTTATTTCCATTTTACAAATGGGGGATCTAAAGCTTAGAGAGGTTAAGTAGTTCACAGAACTAGAAAGAAGTAGTCAAGAGCTGAACCTGAGTCTGTCTGAATCCACAGACCAACCTGCTCTTCAAAGTTCTTCTGCTTTTATAAAAGAAGGATGCTACCTAATATGCTTCAGCAAATGTAAGAGTCATGATTGGACATAAATCAGTAATGTTACACGTTTTAAAAAAAAGACGTAAAGATAGAATCTAAAAATAAAGTGGTAATTATAATAATAACTGTTAACATATGGGCCCTTACCATGGATACTATTCTAAGATCTTTATTTACATTTATTACCTCATTTAATCCTCACAGTTGTTCTAAGAGTCAGACTCTTTTATTTCCATTTTACAG